GAACAAACTTGTCAAGTAATAGTAATGAATCCTTAACATCGAAAGCAAATTTCAAGAGACCATTCTTTCGATTCCTAGATGATCATGTAACACTACAGTAGGACATACCCTAATTTCCACATCATCATTACCATTAATGATAAATGGATTCCTAATAACTATTCATTCACAAGCGGGTTCATAAAATTTCGTCGAACCATTTTACGAATTTACCATGACGTGACACACCCAACATTCCATTAGCATTAATAATTCTAGCATTAATATTAACCCTTTTTTGGGAATTTGATCGTCTAATTTAAAATAAGAATGAATGTGCTAATACATATTTATTTTTAAATGCTGTATATGTATATATATATATAATTATTATTATATCGAGTTTTAATTAATATCTATGAAGTAATTTTAATAGTTCCTTGCAAACAAGTTAAAACTGTCCCTGCCGGATCAATCACTATATTCATAAAAAAAAATTTTTTTTTATTATTTCCCAATTGTTATAATAATCAATCAATCATTTATTTAAAGCAAGTAATTTAGTTGGTTTACCTTTTACACGAGTAAAAATTGAGGGCATACTACTAAGTTTGTTGTCATTTGGTATAGCTTGAGTGATTGTAAAATCGAAGTCACCAGCTGCTATTGGACAAGTTAAAGTGGGTGTGTATTTGACGACGTTACTACAAAAATCTTCTGTTTTTTCTAAAACAGTAACTCCAAATACGGTTGCTACAATATTAACAGTTGTTCCATCACTAATTCCGACTGTGCTTTTTCCAGCTAAATTCATAGTGAGATCTTGTCCAATCTTAATCGGATCTGGAGAATATGAAAAATCAGCAATAGTTATTGGTGTGTTTTCTTGACATAGTTCAAATCCATTATTAATCGCTCTTTTTTCAACCGATATTGATGATGCTGGTATTACACTGGCCGTAGTAAGTTGAGTTATTAATACTAATAATATGGTAAAGATTATGAATTGTTTCATTTTAAAAATTAAAAAATTATTTTCGAAGGCCAAGTTTTTACTTAAAGGGAATTTATTTTTTAAAAAACTCACAGTGGGTGGGCAAGTGAACGAACATATTTTATTTATATAAAATTCATTTAGCATTCATTCAATTACTCGTTTATTACGGGTTGAATAGAAGTAGAAATATAGGTTATTAGTTTATGGAGATGTTGTTCTTGGATTCATACATCATAACTTGGATTTTTGCGAAAGTGGAATTAGGAACTCCGTGGAGTTTGTGAACCTGGATTTTTTTATCTGTAACTTACTTAGTATATGGAATATATGCTTCTAAGATAATTAATCAATTCTTCAAATAGGATTTTTCGTAAAAAGCCCTCACAATTGTCATCATGGACACAAAATAAGCTAAAGGTTTTACACGAGCTTGTTTTTTAAGGAATCACGAGTCTGGTGCTAGTCATTATTGATAACAACTTTCCGTTGAAAGTTTTTTTAGAAATTTTTTATATAATCTGCTTTGTAATAAAGAATTTACTAAATGGAAAGATTTTTTAATAGCATAGGTCTGAACCAACACATTCATTTTAATATTGATGGAATAAAAGAAAATATTGAATTATTATTTACAATGGTAAAAAGTGCCGAGGCATCTTAATCATTTGATTGACCTGTAATGAATGTTATTTTTTTGTGTATATATATAGAATTGTAAATATTGCATGATTCATTTGCTTCCAGGGAACGATTTTCCCCTTTACCGAATGCTTTGCGCTTGCAACACACAAAACACAAAGTCCAAAACCTTTATCAATGATCTATATCTGCAGCATTTTTAACGCATAGGGACGACTTCTACGGCGATTATATTCTACGTTTTAAAAATATTATTTCTTCCCAATTCTAAAAAGAAGGACCCAGTTTTTTCATTAACAAATGATAACTGAAATGTATTAATATATAATCCAATCTTCCAACTACTTGACAAAAATACAGGAAGCTCTCGTCTTTGATTTTTTTAATAAAATTTTTATGTAGAATACTTGTTAAATTTATCTACCACACACAACACAATTACATATATGGGGGCTTCTCAACCTTATAAAAAATAAAATATGGAATGCATACGGAATACATATGGAATCACAACCTTACCTACAAAACATACTAGGTTTTTAAAAACCTATTTTCCGTATATTTTTTGTGCATTATAATATTTTACTTTTATTTTTTTCTGCATTTCAAGAGTATCCAAAAATATCCTAAGCAAAGAGTTGTATACAGTGGTAAATACATCCATTAAATATTTTTTTACGTCAGTTCAATATAAAATTTTTGAGAAACTTTGCCTTACTCCTTCATTGTATCATGTCAATACCAGCTCATAATAGAAGCATTTTTTCCAACAATAAATATCACATTTTGCTAAACAACAACAATACTAATTCATAAAGTTGTAGAAATATATGAGCTGTTCTTGCATACCCTCAACTTTATAAAAGGTTTATATAACATTTAACAAGCTTTAAATAATGATACAAATAGCAAACACTACTCAAGAAAGCTTTACTTGTAAACCTCAAACAACATCCGGAACTGTATGTACTACTCGAAAGCGTTATTTGGTTAGTAGAATTCGATCACCTAGCAAATTCAAAAGCGTTGATGCGAGAAGATAAAATGATAGATTTATTTACAGCAGAGTAATAATAATAATAATCTACTAAATTTTATAAAATTATTTTTACTAAAAAATGTGCGCATTTTTTATATAACACG